CAAGAAGTCTTGGATCATTGTTGTTCACATTTCTGTTTCCACCTCTCTGTCGATGAAGATCATTCATACGGCAACGTCTTTCGATATTTCTGATTTGCCTGTCATTAGGATGGCGCTGGTTCGGAAAACGTTCAGCATAGAGCCGAGCAGCAGCTCGGTAGTTCCGGCGACATTCACCAAGTACTAACAATACTTCAACGACTTCATTTCCTGAATAATTGGTCATTCTGTGAAGAAATATCAAAGACGTAATGCATATTTGAAAGATAACACTAACCACAAGAGTGGTAATAATTTGTTAATACTTACATGAAAAACGCTCAACGACTTTTTCAACAGTTGTTAAAAAAATGCTTACTATTAATAATCACTCATCTCAACACTAAATTCGTCACTCCGTTCAAAACAAAAATCGACGTTTTTATTCAAAAACTTACTTTTACCTCTAAATGAGCATAAAGAATTGAATACACGTTACATCTCGACGTTGACAGAACGGACAACCTTCCATACTTCCCGAATCCGGGGTCGAGAATAGCGATTCCTATGAAAAATAGTTAACCTTCACATGTTCTTGAGTGATCAACCACAAGTTACACCTTGCCTGAACGTAGAATTTTTTGTTGTTTCCGAATCCGTGATAAAAAAAGTAGGGTACTCCAGGAAAAAACAAAGTTGACCTTCAAATGACCTTGGCGGGTCTCCCGGACCCCACGCATGATAGGTCATCTAAACGTAGAATTTTCCGCTCTTTCCGAATCCGGGGTCGAAAATAGGGGTTCCTATTTAAAAAAACAAAGTTGACCTTCAAATGACCTTGGCGGATCTCCCGGACCCCACGTATGGTAGGTTATCTAAACGTAAGATTTTCCGCTCTTTCCGAATCCGGGGTCGAAAATAGGGGTTCCTATTTGAAAAAACAAAGTTGACCTTCAAATGACCTTGAAAATGACCCTCGAGGTCAAAGTCAAGGTCACCATAATATGTCCCCCTCGGAGACGAGTAACTTTTATTCGAAACATTTTTCGCTAGCTCTCATAGTTTTTGGGTTATCTTAGTGCGTAAGTTAAAATGGGACACCCTGTATAAAAATTAAAAATTAAAAAAAATTTTATGTAAATCTATATTATATTATTGATTTATCTTTCTTTCTCTGTTCAATCTTTTTTGCATGTAATTTTTCAGCATTTTTGTTCGAGTTTTATTTTATTATTTTAACAGTTTTTTATAGTTTTATTTTAATAGTTTTATTTTCTTTCATTAGTTTTATTTAATTTTGTTCATTTCATTTATCAGATTTTTTTTAAACTCGAAGAAAAATTTGAAGTAGCTAAGAGAAGGGTTGAGCCTCACAAATTATAACAAGCAGCTTGCATCTTGTTATGTCTCTCTCTCTCTCTCTCTCTCTCCCTCTATAGCTAGTGGTAATGATAATTATATGAGAATCATATGATCGAATGTTTGGTTTGTTATAGCACAGAGCAAGCGTCAGTGAACTGGTAAGTGACGAGCCCTTACTCGAGTAGTGGTTGTTAGCCCGCGACGCGAACATCGCGGAGAGATGATTATCTTGAGGGAAGAAAGAGAATAGGCGCGATTAGGCAGCATACAGCTGACCGGCAAAGAAGTAGCGACTGTTTTTAAAAGTCGATGACAACAGAGATCGTAATCCGTAGACCGTACAAAGGGAGAGGATCTCTAGTTACCTAAGGTGTCTAAGTGCACCCGTATAAATCAAAAATGAAAAAGGAGTGCGAGCTAACCGGCAACTAGCTAGCGAGAAGCGAAGGCACCTTTATTAGTCTAACGGAGTAAACACTGTAAATATCTATTCGATGCTTGGTTTTTTCTCTCGCTTTCTTACTCTCTCCTCATGCTCGTCTACTGCTACGCATTTCACTACTACTCGCGCTACTTAGTCCGCTTATGGCTTACTTTATTCTGCGTTGCGCATCATGTACCGCGGTTCGTCATTCGACTCCACTGACAATCGCGGCAAAGTTAAGCGTGTCCGCTAGCGCATACAGATTCAACGCACCGTTCATCGCTTGGTGTAACTCACGACGCAATACAACTAGGCATTGAGTCTACTTGCGCGCAACGCGTATCGACTTTAGCAGGTCGCATACCATGTGGTAAGTCGAACGCTTACTCTGTACTGTAACGGTCCTATCTATGAGCTAGTTTCTCATTTCACTGAATTACTGCAACCCGCTAAACTCATCAATCTGTTTACATCAATTAGCATATTAAACGGCACCACCTCACCTATTATTTGATTGTCTTAGTACAAGAGTCTAATTTCATGACCATATAAGGAGCGTGACATCACATACTTATAGATATAATAGTTTTTATTATTTGAATAACATATGTTAATTAATAGTAATTTTGATGAAACAAAGCATTTTTTATATAGATTTTAGAACATATATTTAGATTATAATAATTTTAATTGTGTTTAATTATTAAATAATATTGAATTTTTATATGCAAAGTTAATTTGTTTATTACGTTGTAAATATTAAGTATTAGAAAAATACGAATACTCTAAATTCATAATGAATATCTTAAAAACACGAGTAAGAATTGGTTTCATTGATAACAGTTTAATTATAACTGTTATCAATAAATAAATAATTCATAATTTATTTGAACATTAAGTTATATATAGATCGAAAGCGTTAATTTTTACATAATAATGACAGCTTTGTAACTTATAAATCTTAATTAATGAATCTAGTAATTACATTATAAGATTATCGAAAAAACCGTTACAAATATGAAAATTTATTATAATTCGAATGTTATTAACTAATTTGATTATTCCTTTTTAGAAATTACTTCTACAATTAATAAGCTACTAATCTATGAAAAATTTTATTATTGTTTTATTGTAAATATTGTAATATTACATTAATTAACTTTATTAGTTAATAACTTTTGAGGATACTGTTTATAATAATTGTAAATTATTCAAAACGATCAATAACTAATTTTGTAAAGTTTATGTGTTTTAAAATTTTAGTATTAAGGTTTATTCACTTGTAAATTTAGAAAATTCATATCTCAAAATTGCGAATACTTCTCGAAGATTCAAAAACTTCTCAAAGAGAGCTGTCCTGCGAAAATACGCGGGAAAATCTGTGTATAAATACGCTGATTTTTGCACAGGCTTGCATTCATTCCTAGCCTTGCAGAGCGCATGAGATTGAATAAACTTGGCTAATACTTAAGTTCTTTCTCTCATTGTGATTAACTGAGCACGACCTTTCCTTTCCTATAATTCGTGCTCAACTTATAGAACATTTCGCGCTATAAGAAACTTGGGCTCAATTATATCCTTCATAAGAAAGACTTTAGCTCTGCTTACGGGACAATTCGCACCATAAGAAACTAGGGCAAAGTCTGTCATTTCCTTGTAATTTTACTTACATACTTATTTACATTATTTGTTAATTTATTTCATATTAATAATTGGAGTAAAATTGAAAGAAACGAATTCTCACTCATTAACGCGACAGGACCACGAGAGTACGAACTATAAAATAAATTATAAGTGATACGAACATCACAGTACTGAGGACGAGACGCACGCGTGTCGTACATTGTTTACGCCCATGCTGTAATTTCTCGTTCATCCACTTTCGTAAAATATACCGATAATCCGCAACAAAATAAACACGCGTTATCATTTTGGTTACCGCCCCGCCTTTTCCTCGTTTTTGCCTTGCTTTGTTCCTCGAGCTCGATGCCTCTAGGTTCTTATCTCGAGTCATGGCGTAGCTCACGACACTCTCCGCGGGCCCACTTCTCGTAGCTGGAAGGAGGCGCACTGAAGCGGCTGGACCCGGACGACCTTTGCGCAGAAGCGCTTGTCACTCCGAATAGCAACCTCGTCTACCACCAACATTGTCCGTGAACCAAATTCAACACCCCTAATATACCGGATTCTGCCCGCGCAATCGCGAGCCAGAACACCGTTATACTACTAATTAATATTACTAATATAGATCTGAGGAAACAAGAAATTCCGAGACCATTTGGGAGCAAGCCAAGAGCAAATATCAAAAAGAAGAGTTTAAGGGACAAAAGCATGAATCAGTAAGAAGACTATCCAGCAACTCGATCGCGCTCCCACTACAGAGCAATAACAGATATCTGGTAGTTGCGTGCGCCCGCCTGACGATAAGTTACTTTGGACGATTTAAAACAAAAATGAAATGATGTCGGTTATTGAAACTATGAGTTTATTCGAACACCTTTTCGCTTACCGGATAAATTTGACTGACGTAATTTTAGACGATACATGCTTTGACACCGAAGTATTGGGAGCACTAACAGAGCGCAGATACTTAAACTTTGATAATGTATTGAGTGCAAAACGCAATATAGTAGACGTCATAGTAATGGAAAACCATACTATGAAGTTATTCTTGAAGAACCATCTTGATGATAAGTCACTCCGGTCGGATATTACACATTACCTTAAAACACTCCGCGGTCAACTATTTTTTTTCCTTTTTTATTTCTTTAACTTTTTCTCGGCTTGATATAGTTCGATTAACATGATTGTTGGCTCGTTTGAAAGGTAATTTAATTATTTATAACTTTCTTTATTGCAGTATATACTTTGCTCTACAACTGTTAGTTTCATACGCGAAAAACACGTTTTCGTTTATTACAATCATTGTTTAAAAATCAGGTAATGAAAATCAGAAGTAGGAAACATATAGGAAAACGATCGTCCATTGCGTTTGCAGCATAGTTTTTATCCCTGAAATGTCTATTGGTTATCCTATTAAGGGATGATACGGCAACCCACCTCGTGGATTTAAAAATGTTGGCCTCGAAGTTCACCTATTTTGTGGTTAATAACCACTTAAAATGAACCTTAAAGTCATTTAGGCGATATACATTTTTGTAATTACACACACACACACCACACGCTTACACATTTGTATAATAATTTTTACAAAAACTATTATATAAAAACTTACTTTGATTTTGATGTGGCTTGAAATCGCTAATATCTATACAATATTCAGGTGAATCACTGATAAACTGAGGTTTATTGGCTGTGACGATTGCAAATTTAAACTGAAAAATGTAGATTATTTATATTAATTATAAATGAATGACATTACTGTTTATGAAAAATTGATAATAGAAAATAGTTATTAGCCATACAGTTCGTTTGTACATCACGGTATTCGTGAAAAACAGTTGAATAAAAAAACACATCTAATTTGATTATTGCATATAGTTAGGGATCATTTCAATAGAATGTGTAACGGAGAATTCCGGCCGTACCCGTCTGGGTTGCTCGCGACCGTCCGCACAAATTATTTATTCGGGGATTGGGAAGCAAAAGACGTTCCCACGACTGAATAACGCGTCGAGCATAAACACGTTAAACGCACAGATTCGAAGTCGGGATGAGGAGTGATACAGCGGCGAATAAACACAACAGCGGATTAACACTAATCCTTTAATCGTCAACAATGAGTTACAAGACAGCGATCTCGCGCTTATACACTACGAGCGGCACAACAATGAATCCGAACGCGAAAGGTGAATCGGTGGCTGATCAGCCTGCCGATTCTCTTTATAAATTAAATCGCTACAATAATGCCCGACAGAATACTTTCCGCTGTTAAACTACCAACGGGATAGCCAGCAGGTCTGCCGTGCTACCACCTATAAGCTGGCGCCCAAACATGCAAGAGAGAGAGAGATAAGAGGAAAACACGGCACCGACCTCGACCTTCAGCCTTTCTGACGGCTAGAACGCTCCACCGCGTGACGTCACTGGTGCGCTCCTCGCTGACCGTCTCGCTGATGTTTGTTGTCGTCGCTATCTATCTCCTCGCTCGTTCTCTCGCTTGCACCACGATGCTGCTCTCTCAATCCGGAACTCGCTCGTTAATTGCTGCTGTTGTTGTCTCCGCCTCCTCCCTGTTGCTCGGTGCTGTAGCACGTCAAGTTCCTCGCGCGCTCGCCCGCGCACCTCGCCGGTTACCCGCACGCATCGGTGCCGGGTATCTTGTGGGACACGGCTGGATGCGACCCAGCCTCACGCTCTATCACTCATCCGCGCACCGGGCGTGTCTCCGGAATGAACAAGACGTCGGCGAGGTCTCGAGGCCAACTCGGAAAAAACCGTGACCTTTCGGTTTATCCGCGCGCGCGACTTTCTCCGCTCATTGCCTAGCAGAGACTCCCAAATTTTCCGCGGCGATCCGCGATTCGAGCGCTCTCTCTTTCTCTCTTTCTCTCTTCTTCTGCGCCATCTGCGTCGCTCCAGCAGTCAGCTCAGCCCGTGTTCAGCACCTCGCAAACAAAAGGTCCAAGCATGAGTGTGTGTGCCAAACGTACACACTCTCAGCCTGGCGCGGCGCACGGACATTTGCGAGAGCTAAACGGACGAGATCGGCCTAGCCGAGATTCTACGTCACAAATGTAAAAAAGTTTCAGCCCAATCCCCCTAACTCTGTTGAAATAAAGTGTTTTTAAGGCCAAAAATATAATTTTAACTAAACACTTTATTAAATATTATAAATGTGATTTCTTTATTATAAACAACTTGCAGTAACAGAAAAATATAATATATTTAACAACAATGAAAAGGGTTTCTATACACTCGGCTACTAATTTATACTACAAACTAAGACATGTTTAGCATTATATTCTTGAACAGCGCGTAAAAGTTTTTTTTGGGTTATGTGGATGCTCTTTTGAAACTTTGTATCATGCCCAAATCGTTTTAAAGTCAGCGTGTAAAGATTCCACAGCTTGTTCACTACAAAATCCAAGACTGTTTTCAACTCGATCATAAAATTTCGGGATATGGAACCATACAGCATGAATTTTAGGTTTTATTGGAATATCTAAAACAATGTAACTCTTCTCAAAATCAGAAATTGCTTGTTTGTAATTTTCATGTAAAGTACAAAAAAATAACTATGAACAACTAACTAAAAATCTTGAAATTATTTTACATATTTCAAACACCCTATCCTATAAAAACTTCTCAATATATCAACTTTATTTGACAAGGATTTACAACTATTTCCCGCAAATGAAGGACTGCCTTAAGTAAAATCTTACGTAACATTACATTTTTTAGCCGAATCCAAACTCTTCTTTTCAAATTCTGAAAGCATGTGCTTATACAAAGAATTAACAACACCAATCATAAGATACACTTTTCGCATAAATTAAAGGAACAAAAAAAATTTTTTTGACATTTTACAATTGGACAATTACAACAGGCTGTATTTCAGTGAGAAATTGTCGTACAGGAAATAAGAAAATATAGCTTTTGAAGCTTGAATACTCTAGATTTCGAATTTTTTGGTTACAAATTTTTCGGAACACCTGTAGCCATGCGATTCTTGGATAAAACACAAAAAAAAATTTTCCAAAATTTTTAACTTATTATTTTACTCTACGGGCATGAAAAAATTTCTTCGAGCTAGACCAATGCATAGATCGCATAGCCTGTTCATTAAGCTTCTTTTGCGGGAGTCAGATACGACCATTTGTCTTCGAGATATTGAATTTTGAATGCAAAAGGATCCTTTTTCACTCAACTGCCGATATCTCTGAAACTACTGGTCGCCCAGTGAACGGACAGGGGGTTTCGTTTTCTGAAGAAGATTTCCTACAAAAATCTGTCACGGTAGATTTGAAAAAAAAAATCGTTTTTTTGCGTTTTCAAGACAAACAAGGTTTCTGATTGATTAGGCATTAGCGTTATCCAAAGCATACCATGTGGAAGTTGCACGGTCGGATTTAAGCTTCATTTGTGCTTACCGATGTGTGTTAGATTCTTCGGAAAAAATGAGACCCTGTGGTTTGTTAGTTTCACAGTATTTAACGACTCCAAACTCATTTTCTAAAGTGTGTAATGTGTAAGTGTTTAGTATCGAGTATTCCCGCCTCTAGTCCTAATTACGGCTTGCAACCTTTGTCGCATATTCGAAATGCAATTTCGGATCATCCATTGAGGGATCTGACGTCAAACTCTTATCAGAGCGTTCTTTAATTCTGCTAAATTATTTAGATATGGATCATTTTGACGCAATCGGCGGCCCAATATGTCCCAGATGTGCTGTATGGGATTCAGATCAGGACTCATTGCAGGATGCCTCAACAATCTAAAGTTGTTCCTCTGAAAGAATTAATGGATGATGTTCGCTGTGTGAAGCCTAGTATTATCTTGCATAAAAATAAATCCTCTCCTGTTTCGTACTAACGGTAACATGTGAGGTTGCAAGATTTGGTCGATGTAACGCCTAGCATTGACAGTGTCTCGAACAACCACTAAAAGAGTACGAGAATCCCGTAAAATTGCAGCCCAAACAATCATCGATCCGCCATCGTAAGCAGCTGTGGGACGAATAAAACGCTGTTGATAACGTTGACCTGTACGACGCCAAACTCGAGGTCTTCGGTCATTACCATGCAGGCAAAACCGAGACTTGTCAGAAAAAAAAACTCTGTTCCAATTTCTTATTGACCAGTTCACATGGTTGTGAGCGTCCTTCAGACGAGCTCTACGATGTGTAACGGTTAACATCGGTCCATGGGCAGCAGTTCGAACACAGAGTCCGGATTCGCGAAAACGATTTCTTACCGTTGATCGAGAAATGTTTCGCGGCTGTCGTTGTTGTTGTTGTTGTCACTGTTGTTGACGATTTGGGAAGTTTCGAGCGATGACGTTTGCTGGAACAAAAGGGTCTTGAATAGCCTGTCGAATGATTGCTCGATCATCTCGACGAGCCGTTGTTCGATGTCGTCCTTATCCAGTACGTTGTTGGTATCCATTTGTTTCCCGGAATCGGTTGTACACACGAGAGATAACCGAAGCACTTACACCGAGTTCTTCACCAACCTGTTGATATCTGTAGTCCTCCTGAACAAAGGTCACTAGCCGAGCGACTTCTGGGGCAGATAAATGTCGCCTTGGAGGGATTATGGGATAAGATGAAATTTCAAAGCTGCTGTCAGTAATTTCTTTAAAGATAATGAAATAAACTATTGGTTGGTTTTTATTACCAGAAGTCGAAAAGTTTTGAAAAAACTGTTTTGCGTCATGTAATGACTCTGTAGAAAACGTAAAAAATTTATCGCTCAGAATTTCGCGCAATGAGTACCATGGGCACCTTCGGGATATCGACTTTAATTTTATTCAATAACATTTTTTTAGGAAAAAAAAAAGGTTTGATTGTGTCCATAGCTTCAACGAGGTAAGTCAGAAATGGCCTCTTGGTTTTTTTTAATTTTAAAAATTAAAAAAATTTAATTTTCCAAAAAATAAATTAGTAGAAAGTTACAGGGATGACCATTAGGGTGAGCCGTTTTCCACATTTTTTGTTGTTTATTTTTTCGATATTTTTTTAAGGAAATTTTACGGGGTTTTTTTAAGCGTGAGAAAAAAATTTTTTTTCCTTCAAATTTTTTTTCAATGTTCAAAAAAAATTTCTGAGAAAATTTGCGAAAATATTTTTGAAAAAATTTTTTTGGATTTTTTTTTTCGTTAATCAATCTTCAGAAAACTCTAAATTATTGATTTTTGAAAATCAAGTTTAAGGAACAAAAATCTTATTCCTTTAATTTTTTCAAAATTTCAATCAATCGGTCCAGGAAAACCGCTGAATCGATCGATTTAAAAATTTAGGAGAGTCTTTGAGGAACGTTAGACTGTAAAATTTTTTTCTAACCTAAGTTTTTCCTCCAATATTACCGAAGATACAGTCGATTAACCAAAAAAAGAGAAATTGGCACTTTCTTGCTCTTTTTTCATGTTAACATTACAGGTGGAAAAATATTTTTTTTCCAATCAACCATGACAGACTTTTGTAGAAAATCTTCTGCAGAAAACGAAACCCCCTGTCCATTCGCTGGGCGACCAGTAGTTTCAGAGATATCGGCAGTTGAGTTAAAAAGGATCCGTTTACATTCAAAATTCGATATCTCAAGACAAATGGTCGTATGTGATTCCCGCAAAAAGCAAATTGAAGCTGAATGAACAGGCTATGCGACCTATGTAATGGTCTAGCTCGAAAAAATTTGTTCATGCCCGTAGAGTAAAA